TTATGTAACGCAATAAAAAATAAGTAGTGATATTTTGCCACTAATTATTTACCCCATTTGGTAAATTAGGATCAAAACCAAGCCACAAAACAGACCGTCATTAAATATTTTGTACTATCACCTCAAAAATGCAATCAAACGCAGCCATGCATTCTTCTTGAGGTGTCAACAATTCAGGCCATCGCTATTCTTCAAAAGTGTAATTACCACACAAATTTCTGAAGGAAACGTTCAAATTAAAATCGAATTAAAGGAGGATTTTACTCACAGATTTTGCCAGAAAATATGAAAAAATAAGTAAGGCAAGGTCACTTCTGCTCTCATCTTTCATCGTGTATCGATTAAGTCATCCTTTTTTATTGCAAAAAACCTGCAAGAAGTGATTAATTCTTCTTCCCCATCGTCATTTTTATTTATTGTGTGTCATGTTTTGTTATGTCATCAATTTCATGAATAACGCGTCAAAATCGTCAAAATCAGGGCTTAAAAAATACGCATCAAATTTAAGAAATAAATTAAAACAAATCGTGACGGAATTATTTTTGTGTAAAAAATACATAAATTCATAGTATTTTATTGGTATATTTCATTGACAAAATTCCACAGATAAGATGAAATCATTACCAATAATTTGAAAATTTTGTGCCATGTTTCTTTGTTATGTCATCAATAACGCGTCAAAATCAGGGCTCAATTTTTTACACGCATGAAATTCAAGAAATAAATTGGTACTTAAAAATATTTGAGTAAAAAAAATCGTGACTGAATTATTTTTCTCTAAAAAAATACATAAATTCATATTTTATCAGTAATTATTTCTCATTGACAAAATTCAACAGATAGGATTAGGATATGTAATCATAACTAATAATTTGACGTGTACATAAAAAAATGTGGATTCCAACCATACGCAATTAAATACCTGAAATGACACACATTGAAAATATTGCCAATTCTGACAATGAACTATATTTTGTGTACCATGCATTTGATGCACGCCAAAAAATTCAAGTCCACAATAATAATAATAAGATGACAAATACATAATTCGTATAATTTCACTATAACAAAAGCCAAATTATTTTTACGAGACTCTAATATCATCGTCACGTCACGTCACGTTATCCGTCTCGTCGTTGTTGTCGTCAATTGCCAATAAATTGGTCAAAACTCATACACTCAAATTATTTATGAATGAAATAAAACTACTCAATTTAAGTAGTAAAAAATCTTGCCCACGTAAACTAACGGCAAATTCGTGTGCATATTACATAATCATGTGGACTCCTACATAGGCATAATCTGCACAAATCTGCACACCTTTTCTAAATTAAATCATCCCAAATTTGATACCGGTCGGACGTCTCGTCGCCGTCGCCACTACCACCACCATTGTCGAATAAATTTGCATTATGAAATTTGCATTATCGCCTATCCAAAATAATAATATGCACCTGACACACATACTTTTTTTAGAAAGATTGACATCCCAAATAACAGCAGGATTCGAGAGAAAAAAATTGAAATTTCACTCTCCCTCCGTCCGTTTTATTTAAGTAACAGAGACCTAATTCAATTTAATGGGCTGATCAATGTCGTCGGAAAATGTGCACGCTTAATTTTCCATGTATGTCCACACATGACGCAAAAAAAGGAACAAGTCCATTGTCAATTTTCTTCTCAGAAATGAATTGGTTTAATAATAGAGTTAGAATTTGGCTTGCGTAAATATGTAGATAAATAGGAGCATGCATAAAAGTAATGATATGGGATCGGTCCTATTGTTGGTTTGGGTCTCCTTTTACGTATTGCAGTTTTGTTGGTTAAAAGCGTTTTAAATCCTGTATAATGAATCATTTACTGGTAATAAATAGAAATTGAATCATGACGAGGAGGCGCAGGACGCGGAAGGGTGGGGACAATAATGTTAGTCAAAATCAGGACATTTTTAATAATATAATTCTGGAAATCTCAATTTGCCTCACGTGTGTCTGTCCAAATTATGAATCTCAATTTACCTCACGAAAGTTCATATGCATAAAAATTTTATAATTCGGTCTCAAACTTATACGATTTTTCTGAAGATTTTAAATTTACCCAGATGAAAAATAAAATCAGCACATTTTTAATCATTTCTCTCCTCTGGGAACTTATTTTAAAATTCTGGACGACAAATTTGTAGTCAGTGAGTTGATTGATGAAATGGCGTTGAATTTTTTGAGCCAGTTTCGATGAGTTCCAATTTTTCTGAAGGCGTCTTAAACCTGAGATCTCCTCCTTCAAAAAGTGTCAAAATCTGGAGTGTACTATTATATTTTTTTTTTAATTTGGAACGACATGCTCTAAAAATTTGTCCCCACGGTTCCGCAGCCCCTGATGAGGACCACACCGCACCATTTTTGTGGTTTGGTTGGATAATTTTCTAAAGAAAATCTGTATTGAACTTGATGCAAAAAAGGGCCGCGTTTATTTTCATTGTTCTTGAATTAATGTGTATATATACTTGTTTCGTAATTTTTGTAAAATATTCATTTAAAAATTTTCGTTACAAATTTACAAAATCATTCCTGATAAAATTCCAAGTATCAATTTAAAACAACAAATTTGTAAAATATTCATTAGAAATTAAAAATGAAAATATTTTAAAGTTAAAAATAATGTAATATCTAAAATGCATTTTGCTTTATATGTAAATTTTGAATTAAAAAATTATTCATGGTAAAATTCCAAGTTATAAGTACATACAAAATATTTAAAATTTGCAGCACAGCTCGTTTCGAAATTATGTATTAATTGACACATTTTGTAACATATTCGTTGCAAATTTAAATAGGTTTTGTTTAAAGTTAAAAATTTTAAATGATTTTTTTTCTTAGAAACTTTGCACTTTAAAAATACTAATGCTTGATAAAATACGAAGTCATACAAAAAATCTTGAAAATTCTACGTCCTCCCAATAAATCATTACAATTCTAATTAAGAGAACAATACAATGACAAATTAATTAATACGCCTGGGTCACAATTTTCTTGTTCCTATCTTAATCTTATTATTTAATTGGGTTTAATTTTTTTAAGACAGAAAAAATGAAATTAGTTCAAGGACACACACACGATTCGTAGGACTTCTCTTTCTGATAGGAATTGAGCATCCTTTTCATACACATGTGGAAATTAATGTAGGTAAAGTTCAGAATTTCTCATGACAATTTTTTTCCCTTGATTGTAAATTATTCCCTCGTAAATAAATCACATTAGATTCAGGTATTTAATTTAAATTTAAGGGACACCTTATTTATTATGCAGATTATTAATATGACATTCAAAATATGGTGAAAATATGTGAGAATTAATTTATGGTGAGGGTTCAGACGTCAAATTAGACACGATCTGTATTGTTTTTTGGGGGAAAAATTAATGAAAATTAGCTGGATTAGTTATTATGTAGATATTAATACAATGTGCATTGCAGTGGCCGCGGAAGCGTGGGTGGGGACAGAGGGACAATGTCCCCACGGTTGTTCGATGTCCGCATCATCTGCCCATGTTATATAAACCCGTCCCTTCCCCTATCCTACAATGCTAACGTCCCCACAGCTTCCGCGGCCACTGGACACATGGCAAAATATAGCGAAAAGTACTAATTTATGGCAAATTATTAGCAAGGGTTGGGACGTCAAATTTAATGTGTATTGTTTTTTTTGGGGGGAAGAAATTAATAAAATAAGCTATACATAGATTAATAAGAAACAATAATCGTATCCAATGTCACATTTTTTTTAAATATCAGGCCAAGATAACATCATGAATGACACATTATTATGTAATTCTCAATGCGTGTGAATTTGTATGAATTGAACTAACCAACGACAATGTAAAGGTAAAGTAACGACGAAAACACGACCAAAACAACAATTACCAATTTCTTACTACTAGTTACTACTCTTTTAAAGTGAGTAATTCATCATAGATCATCTCAAATCGAATTGAAGATCCATTGTCAAAGAGTAGTGCAAAAAATGGCAAATCTAGCTAAATATGTATTGTTATATGTTACACACGGAAATATTTAGCCTTAGTTTTAGCTTCTTCTTTAAATTTGTATTGTATCATATCGTGCGGAACAGATCAATAATTCAGTTACACAAATTTGGCAAAAAAGAGACAAATAAGAAGTAGATAAAGTAGGATATAACCACCACTACATCAAATTATTGTACTATTATGAAACTATTTTATCACACTTTAATTCAATGTCAACCCAATTAAGTAAGTAACCGCGTAGTGCAGATAAAGATGCAATTATGTACGTACATACGTATGTAAAGATACGCATGCCATAATTTCCACTCGTATGTAGTACTTGTCGCGTAGTAAACTATGTAAACTAAGAAATAATTATTCGTAATCGATCTTTACTTACGTATCTGGGTATGTAGATATGATAAGATACCCATATTTTGTTAGGTTTACGAAAATACAGTGTACCAATCCAATTCCAGGAAATATAGTTCCGGAAAACTTGAAAGTTTCTGGGAACTTGGTCATCCACATCAAAACTTTGCTTTTTTGCTGTTTTTTTTTGCAAAAAGAAATCGCAAACATGCTGTTGCAAACTTATTGTTATGCATGTATGTAAAATATTCGCATTGTTAAGCAAATTTAAGATTTAATTTTAAGTCTAGGAAATATAGTTCCGGAAGAGTTGAAATTTTCTGGAAATTTGGGCATCCATTAAGCAAAACTTTGGGTTTTTGTCACTCTTTTGTAAAAAAAATTCGCACACGCTGTCAAGTATGTATTTATTGTTTATTGGATCAAGTGCGTAGCGTACATACCTCGCTCTATGTGTGAATGACTTAATTTTCTAACGTAACGTAACGTAACGTAACGTGACTGAAGTACACATTCCCTTCAACCATGTGATAAATACTTGGATGAGAAGGTCCCTCTTACTAAATGACGCCCTGATATCACTGCCCATATAAAAGGACCACCACTTGACGCCATCCTCCTCACTCGCTCACACTCACTCACTCACTCACTCGATAGCTCGACAGACAGACCCACAGACAAATTTTGAACTTTTTTTAAAAAACCAGCCGAGTTTTCGAAAAAAAATGAAGTGCGTTTTACTCCTTGCTTGCTTCTTGGGCGTCACATCGGCCGGATTTTTGCCCGCTTATGGAGGTTACGGTCATGGACATCATCATGCCGTCGCGGTTCCCGTCCATGTCCCAGTGGTGCATAAGGTCAGTTAATTAATTAGTTTCAAAAATTTGAAAAAAAAATAGTTTTAAAAATTTTTTAATAAGAAAAATTAGTTGCAAACTTATACGCAATTAATTATTTGATTGTAATTTTGAAGCAAATTTTTGTCAATGACAGGAAAAAAAATCTAATACGCGAAAATGATAGATGTAAATTCTGAACTTGCAAAATATTTGCAATCTTTTCGCTAAAGTAAATAATTTCAAAAATTAGTTTTAAATCTGCAGCTAATTAATTAATTGGTTGTAATTTTAAAACTAATTTTTTCCAAGGTCAGTAAAAAAAGCTAATACGCGAAGCTGATAGATGTAAAAAATATATTGAATTTGCAAAGTACTTGCTAAATTTAAAATGCTACTAATCACGTTCCTGCCCAAGTTCAAGTTCAAGCTCGCCAAACCTTGTAGTACAACTAATATATTAAATTGTACAAAATTAACGTTTGCGACGTCGAACTGGGTAAAAATTTGTAAAAATTCCAGGAAATTGTTAAATTTTATGCAAAAAATGTTCTCTCATTAATTTTGAAACTAATTTTCAGGTCCCAATTGCCACCTCGTACCATCACGAGCACCGAACTTATCATCCCGTCGTGCCAGTCGTGAAACATGTCCCGGTCGTGCACAAGGTCGCGGTCCCCGTCCACGTGCCCGTCGTGCACCACGACCCCCTCGTACATCACGCGCCACATTACGCGTACGGTCATGGGCACGGTTATGGACATGGATTCAGTACGTGAAGGATTCAAATTTTTGAATTATGTTGAGTTTTTTGGGGGAAATAAGAAATCTAAAATTTGTCAATTTTTTGAACAGGTCATTACTAAAAGTTTTGGGGAGAAAATCGTGATCTTTCTGCGCCCATAATTAATTTATTAAGTGTCGTCGTCGTCAACTCAAATTTCGTGGCGTCGTCGTCGTCGTCTCAAATTTCGTGGCGTCGTCGTCGTCGTCCCAAATTTCGTGGCGTCGTCGTCGTCGTCTCAAATTTCGTGGCGTCGTCGTCGTCTCAAAATTTCGTGGCGTCGTCGTCGTCGTCTCAAATTTCGTGGCGTCGTCGTCGTCGTCCCAAATTTCGTGGCGTCGTCGTCGTCGTCTCAAATTTGGTGGCATCGTCGTCGTCGTCTCAAATTTCGTGGCGTCGTCGTCGTCTCAAAATTTCGTGGCGTCGTCGTCGTCGTCTCAAATTTCGTGGCGTTGTCGTCGCAAATTTCGTGGCGTCGTCGTCATCATCTCAATTTTTTAACGCCATCCTTCTCTATTTCTTTCGTAAATCTCAAATTCCCCACTTTAAGCATTCTCTCAGTATTTTTTTAACCTTTTTATATGTACTTATCATAAGGATGTGGTCATAAGGAGGATGTTATCATAAGAGGATGGATAAGTTGTGGGCTTATCCATAAAGGAACAGATATTAAAGACAAACTGTGATGTGATTTTAAAACGTATTTACTTATTTTGCCAATATTTATCGTCATTTTTTCTGGGACGCATCCAACTTGTCTCACTCACTGTCAACTGTGCAAATAAATACATTACATATTCGCATTCATCTCTATCCTCTGAAAGGATTTTACTACATATGCCAAAAAAATGTCAAATGCAGCTGCTGTCATCGAGAGAAAAGACAAAAAATTGTTGATGTGGGGAAGATTCTCATCTCTTTTTTCGCGTAATACGTAATAACCGACCCAAATCTTACGTATCGTAATTTCGATCATGATTTATGATTTAAAACGCATTTTCTTGAAATTCTGCGCATTATACATCAATCAGTTCGACAATAATATGCAAAATGCATCTTTTTCCCCACTTTTTGTTCTCATTTTTACGAAGTTTGCATCTTTTTTCGCGTAATAATAACCGAAAACTGACCCAAATCTCGTAATTTTCGATTAATCGAAAGTTTGTTATGATTCCGAACTTACTTAAAATGCATTTTATTACTTGAAATTTGAGAGCGGTGGTGCATTTTATTGAAATTTTGCATATATGTAAATTACAAATTAGGTGCGTGCCTAATAAGTATGCATCTTTTCCTCACTTTTATTTATTTGTAGTCACTTTTATTAAGTCCGAAGTAGTCTCGTTAATACTGTAAATTGATAAATATTATTAGATTATTATGTAAATTACATATTTAATTTTCACGAGAAAATAAACATCATTAAGTAGATAACTATTTAAATAAACGAATGTTTGCTCCCTTTTCTTTCTGAAGAATGAATTTCCACCGGTTAAATAATTAAAGGTAATTTTGTAAATGGTCATATTTTGGTTAGTTAACGGGTTAAGATTATACGCTAATTTGTCTTTGATTTGTCTACACTGTGTCATTTTTTGAAGTGGAAATAAAGGTGCAGGAGACAGGATAAAAAGGACAGATTCACATTTCCGGTCTGACTACTACAGAACATTTAGGCGAAAACAATGTAGGATGCAGGTCGAATTTTTTGGTTGAGGTCAAGGCTCGTACTTCTCCATTAACCGGTCATCATCTCGATAAATTCTGTCCCCCAAAAATAGTTCAAAATTTGTCAAAAAATCCGAATATTTTTTCATAATTTACCATCAAAATCCACCGTTCCCGAGCCATCCTCATCGATCTCTTCGATAATTCCGTTCAAATCCGTCTCACTCAACGTGTCATCAATCTCGTGAAGGATTTGCTTCAAAACGGAGGTCGAAATGTAACCGGCACCTGCGCACAAAGAAGTACATCACGGTTCACGCTTATCATTTGTAGGCTTATCAATCATCCACGTACCATCCTTATCGTAGAGACGGAACGCTTCCTTCAACTCTTTCTGGACATCTTCGTCGTCCTCTTCAATAATGAATTTAGCAGCGAGGATGGTAAACTCTTCGAACTCAATTTGCCCAGATCCTAAATATATCAATTAAATAATTGCACTATTTGCACTAGGTTGCACTAGGTTGCACAGTTGCAATACTTTGTCAAAATAAAGTCTTTTGAGCCCCGTGTTCTTCCCAAAGTTTGGATTTCCGGGGCTTTTACATGCCCACATGTAACAAAAAGGCGAAAATCTACATGGAGTAGGCAGAAGTCACACGAAAATGCAGGTTTAGTGAAGAAATTTTATCGTTGTCAAAATCAAAATACTTCATGTTTTGAAAATCGTGAAAACAATGTATTTTGACATCGATAAAGAGTCAATTTCTTCACAAAACCTGTATTTTCATGTGACTTCTACGATCTCCACGTAGATTCTTGTCTTCTTGTAACAGCCCCGGAAATCCAAAATCTGGGAAGAACGGAAACTCAAATGCTGTATTTTGATAAAGCATTCTGGTCATCCCAGCATATTTTCAATCGTGTCACTAATCACCGTCGACATCAATCTCGGAAATGGTTTCCTTCAAAGTCTCGGTGGTAAAGGCGGTACCCATCATGCGGAAAATGGAGGCAACCTTGTAAGACAAAAAAGTTTCAAAAAATTGTCTCATTTTCACGACTCGAAATTTGGATTAAAATTCAAAATTTTCACCATATCCGGAGTAATGTAGTCCTTTCCCTGGGCGAAGGTGTCGAACGCCTTCTTCAAAACTAGGAAATTCAGGTCAAAATAATGCATTACAAAATATTTCGTCACAAAATTTCAAAAATTTCCAAATATTTTCACTCACTCGCAATCTGTTCCTTGTCCAAGTCCGCCTTGAAAAAAATTGGAAACCAATTTTAAACCATAATTTTTCAAAATTGTGTCCATATTTTATTTTTATGAAAACGGATTCCTTACCATTTTTGGGTTTGCAAGATGTAATATGCACGATGATCTTTTCTCTCGTCCTCGCTGCTGGAATGAATATGTCGGATGTGCAGATTGCTATTTTCGTGGCGTGGGTGGTGGATGGGTGAAAAGCAGATCGACTTTTCGGTTTCTTCGGGGGAGGGAGAAGTTAGAAGACGAGAGAAAAATATGTATCCGTAATATGCAAAGTTGCCCGTTTTTTATGCATTATTCTATTTTTAGGCAGATTTGAGAGATTCTGTTTTTTAATTCCGGCGTGCAAAATGGAATATTGTGGTATGCATCATATTCTTGGGGTTTGCGTAGTTATGCGATGTTATATGAGAAGCAGTGGCCGTGGAAGGGTGGGTGGGGACAGAGGGACAATGTCAACACGGGTGTTCGTGTCCGCATAATTCTGCCCATACCTGTTCACTTTCATTCATGTGCTGATTATGATAGTGAATGAAAATGAATTTCCTGTCATTTGAATGAAAATGACTGAAGAATTCAGTCATTTCAGATGAATGACTTTGAATGAAAGGATTTCTCACTCATTTCATTTTTCACAATATGCTTAATACATGGGTCGAATTAAGAAATGAAGCCAGATGAAGTGAAATGAAACGACTTTGAAAGAAAATAACTGAATGTGAATGAAAATCTTCACTCAGAAATCGGGATGACTGACTTTTGAATGAAAACTAAGTTTTTGAACAGATATGATCCTACAATGGCAATGTCCCCTCAACTTCCGCGGCCACTGATGAGAAGAGGGGAGACATGGATGAATTGGGTGTATGTATGTACATACAGGAAACGGGACGAAAAAATAGCGTGACGAAGACGCAGTATGTTTGGTGGTGTGGTACAGAGATGATGATGATGATAAGCAGTAAGATGACCGAGAAAGCAGGATTCAGTGCATTGTGGACCACAATTTGTGGTGCAGGATTTCGACATTTTTGGGCCAAAATTTCCTAAAATTTGTAGCTAGATAATTTATTTAATGTAGGACTCGATACCTCATCTAGAAAATTGTGGAAATTTGTGCAATTTAATAATTTCTCTACGAGTCAATTTTAAACTTTATTGAGATTTTATGTAATTTATTAGGGGACGTTCGTAAACTTCATAACGCAAATTTTCGATTTTTTGGACACACACCCACCCCCTTTAACATGTGTCACATAGGCACGATATCATTGGGCCCTGCCCCCCACCCACCCCCCTTTGCGTTACGAGGTTTACGAACGTCCCCTTAGTGAGACGCCGTTCATAATAAGATTTAACGGAGAGGTAATATTCATACAACGTAGATGACATCAGTGTCCGCATCAAATGGAGGAGATTCTTGCAAAATTTTGAGAAATCTTTCAAAATTTTTAATTATCATATGACTTGGTGACTCGTCGTCAAATTTAGCACATTTTTGAATCATTCCTCGGCTCTGGGAATTAATTTTAAAATTCTGGACAACAAGTAGAACAAGTCGTTGCCAATTTTTTTTAGGAAATATACACACCAGATTTTGACACGTTTTGAAGGAGGAGATCTCAAGTTTAAGAAGTTTTCAGAAAAGTTGGAACTCAGCGAAACGCTTCAAAAACTCAACGCCATTTCATCAATCAACTCATTGACTGCAAATTTGTCGTTCAGAATTTTAAATAAATTCCCAGAGTGAAGAAATCAATAAAAATCATTTGATTTTGACGATTTTGGTGATGTCATCAAGTCAAACACGAACACATTCATAAAATTGAAATAATTTGTACAATATAAATTCCCAAAATTTCCATCCATATTTCCTCCAAATGACCTCTGTCTCAAAAACTGTGGTGGCGGCGGACCAGACAAGAAAAAAAACTTTGACCTTTCAAAAGACGTGAAAATTTTGGAAAATTTTCCAAAGGTCAAATTTTCGCCGTCGTAGCGACGAAAACCATCGTCTGGCCACGCCTTTTCGGAAAAACTGACCAATCAAAAGTTCCCCAGTTTCTGATTGGTCTTTTCCAAGCCTGATTTTCCAGACGAACCGAGGTGACTTACGGAGGTCAGGAACAATCAAAAAATCAGTTGACTTTGGATTTTTGACTTGGAAGGTTCTCTCAAATTGCTCTCTCCCATTTCAATTTTTCTCTCTCCTCGATTCGATCCTCGTCAAGAAGAAACTTCAAGAAAATTTCGGTGCTTTCAAAATCAAATCAAACCACACCACACCCCAACTCAACCAGAAAGATGAAGTATGCAACGTTTTTGGCCATCCTTATCGTCGCGGCGGCACTCCCAGCGGCTTTTGGTACGTTTTTTCACTCTTTTTTCCTCTTTTTCCGCCCTCCTCCTCAGAGGTCATGCAACTTATCTGGTTATTTGACCTTATCTGTCAGTTGCGTGAGAGTTATAACCTTATCTGTCGAGATTTCACGTTATCTGTCAGTTGTGTGAAAACAACCAAGTTTTTCCCGTCTCCTTTTCCTTCCCCCTCGTCCTCCGAGGTCATCGACCTTATCTGTTGATTTAACCTTATCCATCACTTGTTTGAGAGTACTGAGTAACGCTAATTTTTTGTGCCATGTAGGTCAAGAGACGGGAGCATCAGAACCAGCAGCACCAGGAGTCTCTCATCCAGCTGGAATGACCACAGCAGCCGGAGGTGCACCTGCCCCTGTTGGTGGTAAGCAAGCAGTCAAATAAATAAATAATTTCCAAAATTTCCAAGTTTTTCTTTCATCCACAATTTTTGTAACGATTTTTTTCTCTCCCTAAAATTTTCCCAGGTGGTGAAACCGGAGCTGCGGGCGGTGGCGAAACTACTGCGGCTGCTGCTGCTGGTGGTGCTGACGCCGGGACTTCGATGTTGTCGGCCGGAATCCTCCTCATCTTGGCGTCGTCCTCCGTCGTTCGGGCGTACAACTCCGTGATGGTGAAGGCCTGCTGAGGACTTTTCGACACTTCGTCACCTTCGTCGTCGTCACCGTTTTTCTTGTAATAACGTATAAAAATTATAATGTCGCTCTTTTTCTATCCTCTCTTCTTTTCCGTCTGTCCTGTCGCTTATCTTCTCTTTTCCGCTGGTGGGGGCGGCTTGCCCTCTTCTTCTCCTTCTGAGTTGACCCCGCTGGTAAAAAATCTGTCTTTTTCGTCTATCCCCCCCTCGTGTCCCCATCTTTCTTTCTGTGTGCGGACACTGAGCTCTGTCTATCCTGCCGAAGCTATGTATGTATCATTTCCGATTTACAAGACCGTTTATACCCCTCATTCATAATTATACCACTAATGTCATGTCGTAGTGTGGTTGGGTAATAAAATCTATAACTTCTTTTTGCATGTAAATTGTGATGATGTGTGATTTTTGTGGGAGTGATTTTAGTTTTTTTGTGAGTATTATAGTTGTAAGTAATTTGTAACTGGAATTGTAGAATATTTAGTTTGTAGTTGGAGGATAAGCATAAAATTATGATAAATATATTTAATTATAGTTTGCATAATTTCATCTTGACTGATAATTAAGGTTTAGTTAGTTGTAAGTAATTTATAGAAATGTTCAATAGTTTGTAATTCATCATGTCATAAAATTAGTGGAAATAGTGTATTTAACTATATTTTTCATAAGTTCGTCTCACTTTTCGCATTTTTCGACGAATTTGTCATCCACACCGCGTCACATCATCTTCATCTGTACTTTGGTAATTAAGCTCGTAATTAATATTTAATTAGTTGTAAGTAATTTATGGAATATTCAATAGTTTGTAATTTATCATAAATCGCACCTAACATAAAATTAGTTTAAATATATTTTGCATACATAATTTCATGTCACTCACTTTTCGCATTTGTCGACTAATTTGTCATCCCCACCTCGTCACTTCATCTCCTTCACTTTGGTAATTAAGTTATGACAACTTTGTTTAGTTTGAATGGTGGTTTTGTTCCATTCTTTTCCCCGTGATTAATGGACAAAATGTCGTGTCATTTCATTACCAAGATTTAATTGACTAAATAATTCATAACTTTAACTTGGTGGTATTTCCTTTCTCACGAAGTGACACTATAAAAATTTGGCGTGCGTGTCACCACTTATCACGAAGAAAATGAAGGTGTGAGCCTATAATTTATTAAGTACGGGCAAATAATGGCGTGGGTAATTCCTACCCACCAGTGGCCCCGGAAGCGGTGGGGACATCTGGGGACGTTAACATTGTAGGCTAGGGGAGGGACGGGTTTACACAAGATGGGGACATGATGCGGACAGCGAACAACCGTGGGGACATGGTCCCTCTGTCCCCACCCACGCTTCCGCGGCCACTGCTACCCACCTTACTTAATTATATAATTAACCTCTAAACTACTGTCTTTTCATGCAGCAAATCTAAAGCACAAGTGGTTTGATAAATGTTAAATTTTAAAAAGCAGTTTAGTAATTGATAAGTAATTTAAATAATCGACGAAATTATGGCGTACTGCACCCTGCTCGGAAACTTACTCCGTTTCCTTTTCACCCAAATTTGTATCGTGCTCGTCACCCTAATAAATCTGGTCAGTCTTCCTCTGCTGACCCCAGTTCTCGTCCCTGTCTTAATTTATCGATACGTTCTGAACAAGATTGGGCCAATTTTGAGACCTCAACTGGGGGCAATGGTGACTTCGAGAGGTGCTATTTTTTCGGGGGATGCGCTCTTCGAGAGGAAAAGGTAAAACATAAAGTACAGCGTTATTTACTTAGCCCGAGTCAGGTTATCATAAATTGAGGTGGGTATCATACGACCGCGACACCTCTTTGTATTTTTCCCACATAAATATTTTGCTTATCTCCCAAGTTGACTCCAATTTTGCATATTTTACGTATGTGTCCAAAATTTCAAGTCGATTCGAAAAGTTTTTTCGGACATAATCGATAGACAGACAATCACGATGGGTAGATAAGCCGTGACTAGATTTTGCTATCTGCAATGCAACCTTAATTCCTAATTTTTCTAAATGTTCTAATATTCGAAATACTCCTGTTCAAAATTTCAAGCTGATTTTATACGTTTTACCACGATGGGAACATAAGCCCTGACTCGAAGACACGATTTGGACACCATTTTTGCTCATTTTTCCCAGAAATTTGTATTAGCCCCAAATATTAAGCAGTTCTTCAAAATCTGTATATACTAAATTGCCCTTTGCAAATCCTACCTTATTCCTAATGGCGTCTAAATCTACCAAAATTTAAATTTCTGAAAATTCTTTATTTAAAAAGTTGTTATCTTTCTGACAGAAAGATATTGTCGATTGAAAAAGTTTTAGAAGCTTAATCGATAGACTGACAACCATGACGGGTACATAGGCCCTGACTCGGGCTAAAAAAATCGAGTTACATACAAATACCAAATACAAAATTCTAACAAATTTGACCAAATAATTCCCCTTGGATAAGTTTTACGAGCTTAATCGATAGACAGACAGACGAACTTAATGGGTACATAGGCCCTGACTCGAGCTAGAAGATAAAAAATAAAAAATGATGCAAATTTTATACTTTTTAAGGCCAAAAGTGAACATCGTCATCCAATGCAGACTCAACGGCCGGTTGGATATCGACCAAGCCAATAAGATTGCTGAGGAACGAATCCTCTCGGCACGAAGGGACGATGGAAGTCTGATGTATCCCGAACTTCGCCAGTTCCCTACGACCCTGGGCGGCTTCTACTTTTGGGAGTGGGATCCTACCTTTGACATCTGGAACCATGTCAAGGTGACGAGGTCAACTCAGAATGGAGGTCTCCCAGCGTATGCTCTCCGATTTTGAGCAAATTAGTGTCAATCGATTGCAAATTTAATTCGGATGAAATTTGCGAAAAACACGGTCTCCCAATGGACACGTTTGGCAGAGACATTTGCATCCCAAGAGGAGAAAAAGTGCTCGAAAGTCGACAAATTTTACACTTTCCAAGTTTACTGCTTTATTTTTCTCCCCTTCGGATGCAAGTATCCTTCCCAAACGTGCTCATTGGGAGATCGTGGCTTTCGCAAATTTCATACTACTCAAATTTGTGATCGATTGACTCTAATTTGTCCAAAATCGGAGAGCATACGCTGGGAGATACGCCATTCTTAGGAATCCTAAGTTAGGATTAGTGTAACAGATTAGATAGATGTTCATGCCAAGTCATTTATTTAGCACCACCGCATCGAACTTGGGCCGGATTATTGTGGCGATGAGGACGAACCCCTCGCTAAATTCCATGAACAGCTTTTACAAGCTGAATGGCCAGAGAGAAAACCAATCTGGGAAATTTGGGTGGTCGATGTGGACAAAGGTTCGTCCTCCCCCACGAGGACGACCATTTTCGTCAAGACGCATCACTCTCTGACGGATGGGTACTCATTGTTGTCGCTTTTCAGCAAATTTGCTGGTACGTACAAAATAGTGACACGCAGATATCCTGAATAATTGTACATATTTCAATTAAAAGTAGAACTCGATGATTCGTCCCTAAAAAATTGTCAAAATCGACACATTTTTAGTCATTTCTCGTCTCTGGGAACTTATTTTAAAATTCTGGACGACAAATATGCAGTCAGTTAGTTGATTGATGGAATGGCGTTGAGTTTTTTGAGCCAGTTTCGACGAGTTTCAATTTTTTGAAGGCTTCTTAAACTTGAGATCTCCTCCGCCAAAAAGTATCAAATTTGGAGTGTATACTAAAAAAAATTGGGAACAACCTGCTCTACAAATTTATCGTTCAGAATTTTAAAATAAATTCCCAGAGTCAAGAAATAATTCAAAATGTGCTGATTTTGGCGACGAGTTATACGTTAAATATATCCTCCGTTCGTAAATATGTAGATGTTCCATATTCCTCCCTGGAAAATCCGATTCCTGCCCCAGTTTCACGCCCCCTCTGGAAAAGGGTCGCCTTCTTAACCACATTTCCCCTCCGAACGGCCTACGAACTGAGCTGCGTCACCGTCCAACGTTACAGCCCGTTCGTCTCGCTGCCCTTCCTCGTCCCCTCGAAGCACCAACATCAGTCCCCCATGCGCTACATTTGCACCAAACCCATCTCCGTCGACAAGGTGAAAGCGATCAAAAATCATTTCCGGGTCACGTTCACGTCCGTCGTCAACGCTGCATTGGCCGGCGCCACGAGGGAGTTGATGATCTCGAAGGGCGGCACGACCGCGTCGCACAAGGCACGTGTCAGACATGTTTTTTTTACCCATTTTCTTAAAAACTGCACTAAAAAAATTAGTAACTTAACATAGGACTGGATGACTTATCACCAAAATCAGCACATTTTTAATCATTTCTCTCTTCTGGGAATTTATTTTAAGATTCTGAACGACAAATTTCCAGTCGGTGAGTTGATTAATGGAATGGCGTTGAGTTTTTTGAGCCAGTTTCGACGAGTTCCAATTTTTCTGAAGGCTTCTTAAGCTTGAGGTCTCATTCAAAAAGTGTCAAAATCTGGAGTGCATATTTCTAAAAAAAAGTTGGGAACGACCTGGTCAAGAATTTTAAAATAAATTCCCTGAGCGGAGAAATATTTAAAAATGTGCAGATTTCTAACACCGAATCATCCAGTCCGATGTCGAAATCGAAGACATTTATCTTTGCCGTGACATCACATCTCTTTTCTATTTTTATGAGCACGAATTTGCCAGACCTAAAAATATTTGGTTAAATTTTACAAGATGCCGACTAGTCGCCCTAATCTTTTTTTTATCTGGCGATATTTCATTATTTTGAATAAATTTTTTGCGTAATTAATTATCGGCGTTAAAAGCAATCAAACTCCTACATATTTACCAATACATATGTAAATTTTAAATTGAATCATTTATCAAAATTAGTTAGTTAATAATTATATAAACCTTTTTGTAGGGCAGGTAGTCCCAAATTTTTTGAAAGTTTGCACTACAGATTTTGACATTTTCGTAAGAAGAAGATCTCAAGTTTAAGAAGCCTTCAGAAAAATTGGAACTCGTCGAAACTGGCTCAAAAAACTCGACGCCATTCCATTAATCAACTCACTGACGGCAAATTTGTCGTCCAGAGTTTTAAAATAAATTCCCAGAGGGGATAAATGGTTAAAAATATGCTATAATTTTAACGATAAGCATAAGTCATCGAGTCCTACGTTAAGTTATGTACTTGATTTTTTTAAGAAAATCGGTAAAAAACATGTCTGACACGTCTATTGCCAGTTCCCCGTTATGATCCCCTTCCCACTTCCGGGTCATCCGGAACACGCGCTGCGCAACTATATGGCCGGCGCAATCGCCTCGCTCCCCATTCAAGAAGGGGACCCAGTCAAACGGTTGAAGGCGTGTGACAAAGACGTCGCCGTTATGAAGCGGTCGACCTTTCCGCTTTTAAATAAAATGGGACTCAAGCTGATCGGATCTCTTCCCGTGGCGTTGATGAGGTTCGTCTCCAGAAATTGGATCACTTCAGCCTGGTTGACGAGTTTCCCGGCTGGAAAGGTTGAACTGAACGTGGATTCTGTTCCGATGTGGAGGATGCAATTTGGCGTTGGGTTGTATGTCGGACCTACTGGTGAGACCTATAGATGTGTCAAAATATAGTAGTATTTTGAGGTCAATTTTTTCCAGGGTTTGGATTTCCGGGGCTGTTACACCCACAAAAAGACGAAAATCTATGTAGAGAAGGCAGCAGTCGTTTGAAAATACAGGTTTTGTGATGAAATTAACTTTTTATTGGGGTCAAAATACATTATTTTTTTAAAAATCGTGAAAACAATGGATTTTGACAGCGATAAAAACTAATTTCTTCACAAAACCCGTATTTTCGTACGACTGTTGCCTTCTCCACGTAGATTTTCGTCTTTTTGTGGGTATAACAGCCCCGGAAATCCAAACCCTGGGAAGAACGGACCTCTAAATACTGTATTTTGGCAAGTATGTATTTGCCCCAAGAAAATGCATGCAAATTGTAATTAATAACTTTGGCCTGGTTGGATTTTCCAGGCCTTGGCTTCAGCGTGATTACGTATCGGGACGAGTTCAACGTCTCGGTCACCGGGGATGGAACGCTATTCAGTGGGAGCGATATGGCTGAAATGGCTCACCATTTAGAAGAGCAGATTAATATTCTGTACTCGAAAATTGTTCCAGTGTAAGGACAAGAAGATTTAGAGGTTGATGGGATGATGGGATGATATCATAAATCAAGAGTGGTATTTACATAGTTTATCGGGATCAAAGTTTGATTTTGATTTTTTGTTACAAAAACCGAGTCATGTACAAAAAGCAAGACAGTATTTTCCAGTCCAGAAACCTGTTAACCAACGAAACCGAACTAGATAATTGCTCTCTCCAGAATTTGTATTACATCATTTTAAACATCGAGATTGATTCTTGGACTTAATAAAAAACTACGAAATCTTCAATATTATTGCTTGAATGGTGATATTAATGATGGGTAATTCCGTGCAATAGTTGCAATCAACCAAACTGACCACTACACCGCAAAGAAGCAGTAGAGCTTGCAACTTTTGTCTATTTTTTGCACAGATTTGCACAATGGGACCACTTTACTTTTGCTCCTTTAACATGTACATCTTTGTTGCCCAAAAAAGGTGGAAAATGCATAATTTTTAAGATATGTATGTAGGTATACAACTTCTCAATACAGAATTTTATATGATTTAGTGAGCAAAAGTAAAGATGTTAATGTTGGGAATTTCTAGACTCGTAAAAGAAATGCATACATAATTTTGCACTACTGAACTTTGCACATTCGCGAAATCTTATTAATTTTCATCTCATTTCATTCCTTTCGTTGCATTACTTTTGTCAAGATGGTCGCAATTTCCAGCAAATTCGACAATTCGACAATTCCAGCAAATTCGACATCTCTCGTTTTCGCCACTTTTAGCAAGTTGGTCACCATAATGTTATCCGTGGTTGGAGTGGTGGTTCTATTTCCGGTGGCAGTTGGACCCCTCGTGCTGGTCCTCCTGTACCGGCGTCTCCTGCAAAGCGTCGGACCCTGGGTGAGACCACAGTTGACCAAAATGGTGACGGCACGAGGCGCGATATTTTCCGGGGATGCGGTTTACTGCAGGGAAAGGTATGTAGAAAGTGGGACCGTTTTTTTGGGTGTAATTTCACTCTTAGAAATCCAGTATTAAAATAATACCAAGTGGTATTCATGCATATATGACGCTACCAAAGTGGTATTGATAGTTTTACCAAATTTTTATGGACCGGTATACATAATTTTAATACCAAGCGGTAGCAACTTTAATACCGAGAAATCAATGACTTTACATATATGACGCTACCAAAGTGGTATTGATAAATAATACCGTGAAGTATTAAAGTTTTACCAAATTTTTACGGAGCGGTATACATAATTTTAATACCGAGAAATCAATAACTTTGCGTAGATTTCTAATGGTTGACAGTGTATCAGAGGGTGGATATGTACTATTTATTTTAAACTTTTTCATTTGATGACGAACGATGGTCAAACTTTGTGGGTGTGTTCCTTAACTCGCACAGAGCACAAAAAATTAAATATATTTTTACATATTGGCACATATTTCTAGGTTTTCAGAAATATAAATATTTCCATTATTATTTAAAAAATACGTAAATCTTTAACATATTTTTTTCAAAAATACATATATTTTGTAAATATTTTCACGATATGAGACGAAATTTGTTTGCTCAACGAAACTGGACGACAAATAATCCAGTCCAGAGCATTAAATTCAGAAATTCAAATTTTATAAAAATTCAGATTTTTATGATTTTTTTTCGTAAATATTTCAGCGAGCACATGAAACTAACTACTGAAGAAAACTTATATTTTATTTTAGTTTAACCTAAAATATGGAATAATAATAGTTAATTATTTTTTCAAACATTAAAGTAACGTCGTTTAGCTTGAACACTTTTCCCACAATTCATTCTTTCATTCATGCCCAGAAAATTCGGTAATTTATTAAAAAATATTTCTGCCATTCTTATAAAAATACGTAAATAATTTTTTAAATACATATATTTTGCAAATATTTGCAACATTTTTTTTGCTCAAAGAAATCCACAACACAAACAAATCCAGAGAATTATCACTACCATAAAATGACAGTGTTAAGTTCTGGGTCGGTCCGTAAGTCAATGCAAGTCGCCCCGTAGAGGAGACAAAGAAGGAAGCGGAGCAAACACTGCATGCATGAATGCATGAACTGCTACCCCATACATACATCAACTGATCAACCAACCATCATTACTCATCAATAGTGGTTATCATGATAAGTGATCGTGATAAACACTATTAATTAATTATTTTAGTTTGAGAAACTCCACCCACAGCGAGTGGCATATCAATTCGAATGTATTTTTGACGCTGAATCCAACGCCATTAATAGTTTTGACCTCCGAGGCCCCCGTGACCTTCCCGTGACCGTGGCAGCCAAATATGGCTTATTCGTGATGTCGCATATCAATTCGAATGTATTTTTGACGCTGAATCTAAAGCCATTAATGGTTTTGACCTCCGAGGCCCCCGTGACCTTCCCGTGACCGTGGCAGCCAAATATGGCTTATTCGTGATGTCGCATATCAATTCGAATGTATTTTTGACGCTGAATCCAACGCCATTAATGGTTTTGACCTCCGAGGCCCCCGTGACCTTCCCGTGACCGTGGCAGCCAAATATGGCTTATCCGTGATGTCGCATATCAATTCGAATGTATTTTTGACGCTGAATCCGAATCCGTCAATAGTTTGACGTTAATTATAGAAGTTGGGGTTTATGGAACTGAACGGGAGCGTGAAGCGCGGGAATATAAATAGTTAGCTATGCAGTTACTCCCACACGACGGGAATTTAAGTAATTAGCTATTCAACTACTCCCACAGGGGGAAATCAAATTGTGCTGTGACCAGGTTAATTAAAATGCAGTATGACTGGGGCAAACCCTCACTCTGATGTATGTATGTAGTACGACGAAGTCTCCACTGGGAATTATTTAAAGTATAGCATGACGGATTTTTCGCTTTGGGCACACCCCCCACTGGAACTCTAGAACCCGGCCTTGGCCGGGCTATACGTTAGTATTAAATAAACAATACAAATGTTGCAAAAATTCAGATTTTTATTCATTTTTTCGTACACAGTTCGTAAGTATTTTGCAGTATTTCCGGTACTATTTGAAAAATACGGAAAGCTTTTTACATATTTTCCAAAAATAAGTTATAAGTATATTATGAAAATACTAGCGTATAGCCCGGCCAAGGCCGGGTTCTAGAGTTCCAGTGGGGGGTGTGCCCAAAGCGAAAAATCCGTCATGCTATAAAATAATTAATTAATAGTGTTTATCACGATCACTTATCATGATAACCACTATTGATGAGTAATGATGGTTGGTTGATCAGTTGATGTATGTATGGGGTAGCAGTTCATGCATTCATGCATGCAGTGTTTGCTCCGCTTCCTTCTTTGTCTCCTCTACGGGGCGACTTGCATTGACTTACGGACCGACCCAGAACTTAACACTGTCATTTTATGGTAGTGATTTCAACGATGTGCGACAACATTATTTTGCACAAAGAAATTTAACCACAAAAAATTCACAGAATTAGATTAAGAAACTACAGATTTTTCTCAAATTCTTATTTTTGTTATTTTTCCTACATATTTTGTAACTGTTTTGATATTTTTCTCATAAATATTCAGCGATTTTTCGAAAAATGCATATCCGCACTCTGAAAAAATTGTGCAATTTTTTTTTCAGGCCGACCATCAACATCGTTTTGGAAAGCGAATTAGACGAACGGATGGAGATTGGTCGTCTCCGCAAGATTTTCGAGGAGCGGATAATCTCCGTCAGAAAGGGGGACGACGACGACGCCAAGGAATTCAAGTATCCAGAATTCCAACAGTTTATCCGACCTTGGGGAGGATACCATTGGTGGGAGTGGGACTCAAGTTTCGATCTCAGTCAACATGTCAAAGTATGTCATGATAATTTACTTGTGGTGCAAACGCCAGGAAAGCGGGGGGCGGATTTTTGATCTTTTTCGGGAATTTTGAAAGTTTCCGTGAATTTTCGAAGATTTGTAGGAAATTTTCGAGCATGTTTAGTTGTTTTTTACTAATTAGCAGTTAATTAAGATAGGACTCGATCGATCACTCATTGCAAAATCGATACATTTTCTCATTTTCTCTTTAGTCCATCCATATTTTAAAATTTTTCTAAACCTAAGTTAAATTTAAAATACTTTATTTCCGATATTTCATAAATCGACTTCAAAACTCATCAGCAAAATTGTCAAAATCAGCCATTTTTTAATGATTTTTTCTCTCTGGGAATTTATTTTAAAATTCTGGACGACAAATTTGCCGTCAGTGAGTTGATTGATGGAATGGCGTTGAGTTTTTTGAGGCAGTTTCGACGAGTTCCAATTTTTCTGAAGGCTTCTTAAACTTGAGATCTCCTCCTTCAAAAACCATCAAAATCTGGAGTCTATGTATACATATTTTTTTAATTTTTCTGAAGGCTTCTTAAGCTTAAGCTTAAGATCTCATTCAAAAAGGGTCAAAATCTGGAATGTATATTTTAAAAAAATTGGGAACGACTTCAGCTCTACAAATTTGTCGGGCAGAATTTTAAAATAAATTCCCAGAGCGGAGAAATGATTAAAAATGTGCTGATTTTGACGAGGAGTTATCGAGTCCTATGTTAATTAACTAATTAACTAATTAATTAATTACTATTTTCAGTATCACCGCATCCAAGTCGCCTCAGAATCCTTGAGGGACGAAGCCCTCTCCAAATTCCACGAGCAACTCCTACAGAGCGGATGGCCTAAAAATAAACCAGTTTGGGAGATGTGGTTGGTGGATGTAGATGTCGAAAAAGGGGACAATTTTACCTCGAGGTCGACCTTATTCACAAAATTGCATCACTCCCTCGCCGATGGGTTCTCGCTCGTCTCCGTCTTCAGTAACTTGTCCTCAAAAAATTATACTTCCGGTATGAATGAATTCCATGCAAATTATGGCTACGAGTCGATTTCATGAACGTACGACTAATTGCTAAAATCGTAATCAAAATAAGCACATTTTTAATCATTTCTCCGCTCTGGGAATTTATCTTAAAATTCTGCACGAGAAATTTGTGGAGCAGGTCGTTCCCAATTTTTTGAAAATATCCACTCCAAATTTTGACACTTTTTTAAGGAGATTTCAAGTTTAAGAAGCCTTCAGAAAAATTGGAACTCGTTGAAACTGGCTAAAAAAACTCAACGCCATTCTACTAATCAACTCACTGCTCTACAAATTTGTCGTCCAGAATTTTAAAATAAGTTCCCAGAGGCCAGAAATGATTTCAAAAACCTTATTTGTTTACGTGATTAAATTCAGAATTTTCAGAAAAATCGTATAAGCTTGAGACCAAATTATAAAATTTTTGTAGATACATACATATTGAAGGTAAATTGAGATTCACAAATTCCAGTAAGATCACATGTGTGTCGTGAGACACATATTTTATGTGAGGCAAATTGAGACGTTCAGAATTTTCGTATAAATTCCCAGACCCGAGATGATTAAAAATGTACTGATCTTTGACGATTTTGGCGATTTACTTTAATAAGATTTTATAAAAAAGACGATTCTTAGTAGAATTTTGAACTATCTTTGAAATAGAATTGATCGAAACGATGACCAGATTTTGAAACCATAATTTTTAATAATTTTTTATCCAGGAAATAAACCATCACAGCGAAAACAACGCCCCCTTAACCGCCCCCTCTGGAAATCAATCCTCTTCCTGACCACGTTTCCCCTTCGTGCCGTTTACGAAGGGAGCGCCACGTTACTTCAGCGCGTCTTCCAACCACCCCCATTTCTCGCCCCCCTTTTCCCATCGACAAATCGGATGCACACCGCGTGCACGAAACCCATTCCACTCGAGACCATTAAAGATATCAAGAACCACTTTGGGGTCACTTTCACCTCTACGATTCACTCCGTTCTGGCTGGAGCGCTGAGAGATTTGATGATTTTTAAGGGAAATCCGGTCATAATTCCGACGAATTTTCCGACTTTGGTCCCCACCCCGCTGGCTGGTCATCCGGAACATGTTCTGCGAAATTATTTAGGTACAGTATTTACTTTTTTGTGGGGTTGCAAAAGCGAAAAACGGAAGAAACGCGAGGTGCAAAAAACTGGAAGAAAGTGCAAGAAACATGTGCCATTCAGCCATATGAAATATCGCGGCGGGGCGTAGTTTCTTACGCCGATCATTTCTTGCAAGTCAAAATACCTGCATGAAACCAATTTCTTGCGGTTATTTCTTGCAAGAGGTTACTTGCGCCCTAAGCACGGGGTCAGCAGTGATTAGATTCACTCGGGATTTCGTTTTTTGCGGGTTTTTATATTTCTTGCACTGCAAAACAAGAAACGCAAGAAATTCGAGGAGCATGAAAGTGCAAGTAATTGCAAGAAAGTGCGACAAATATGCGCCATCTGGCCACGCGCTGTATGGAACCACTCCGTCGGTTAGGCGTCGTTTCTTGCACCGTGCATTTCTCCCAGGTCAAAATACACACCTGCAAGAAGCCACTTTCTTGCAGTTATTTCTTGCCGCCGGTTACCTGAAACTCTTTAAAAATAGGTGGAGCTCTTCTCAATTTGCAAACGGGGGAGGCCGACCCCATCAAACGGCTGGGGGCGAGTGCCCAGGAATACGAGCAGATGAATCGGTCAACCTTTCCCCTCTTGGGAATGATCGGGCTCAAGGTGGCTGGCTGTCTGCCGGCCTGGTGGGTGTGGCTCGTCGGTAGGAATTGGTTAACGTCCTCCTATTTTACCAACTTTCCGTCGGGGAAAGCCCTCGATTTGGATGGAGTGAGTGTTATCGGGGTGAAAACGGGGATGGGCGTGTTTGCGGGACAAACTGGTATGAATATAGAAGATAAGGTCTCCCAGCGTATGCGATTCGATTTTGAGGAAACCAGTGTCAATCGATGACAAATTTAATTAGAATGAAATTTGCGAAAGACGCGACCTCCCAATGGGCACGTGCGGCAGAGATATTTGCATCCAAAGAGGAGAAAATGCGCCGAAAAGTCGACAGATTTTACACGTTCTTCGTAATTTCATGCGCATTTTCTCCTCTAATCATTTAACCGTTAAATTTTATGATTATCATCTGTAACTTGATTTCTACTTCAAAAGTTCAGAAAATTTTGTTTGCGACGTTAATTAATCCCATTTTTATGATTTATAAATTTGTAATAGAGGAGAAAACGTGCAGTAAATGAGGAAAGTGTAAAATTTGTGCCCGTTTTCTCCTCTATTACAAATTTATAAATCATAAAAATGGGATTAATTAACGTCGCAAACAAAATTTTCCGAATTTTTTAAGTACAAATCATGTTACAGATAATAATTAAATTAATGGTTAAATGATTAGAGTAGAAAACGCTTTGGAAAGTGTAAAATTTGTTAATTTGTCGACTTTTGGGTGCGTTTTCTCCTCTTCGGATGCAAATCTCTCTGCCAAACGTGCCCATTGGTAGATCGTCTCTTTTGCAAATTTTATCCTACTTAAATTTGCCATCGATTCACACTCATTTGCTCAAAATTGGAGAGCATACGCTGGGAGATCTAAATTGCAAGTAATTTTGCAGTTATGAGTAAGATTATGCATGGAAAATTTTATATGACTTTCAGGCCTCGGAGTTACTGCCGTTAGCTATTTAAACGATATAACCATCTCGATCACTGGACATGGATCGGTTTTTAGTGAGACCGACGTGAAAAAATTGGTTACCTATTTAGAACAACAAATTACATTTTTGCAAGCACAAATTAGCCCGGTATGAAAATAAATGTGTAAATAAATACGTAAAATGACGAAGAATTTTCAATTTATAACGTAACAAAAGTAATCAATCCATGTATTCATTTCATCAATTTTTATACCACCAAACAATTAACTCAACTACAATTAATTTTGCATCGAATCAAACAACATTGCGGCACTTATTAACACAAATGGAAATATTTATAACGTATGTAACAGAGGTAATTTAAACATGTTAATTAAAATTTAATCAGTCTTTTTATGCCAACAATGAACTACAATTAATTAGTCAAATCAAACAATTAACAACATTTCTAATTAATACAAACAAACGAAAATACTGGATTTAAATATGACGACAGTTGAGAAAAGTGTGAATTGCGAAAATTAATGTAAACATGTTAAAAAAGACGGAAGAATTTTCAATTTTATAACGTAACAGGTAATTAATTAATGCATTCATTTAAACAATTTTTTTACGCGTACAACGAACTATAATTAATTAGTCAAATCAAACAATTAACAACAGTGCGGAACTAATTAATAATACAAACAATTGAAAATACTGGATTTGAATGTGATGAGGTTACGAAAATTAAGGTAAACATGTTAAAAAAGACGGAAGAATTTTCAATTTTATAACGTAACAGGTAATCAATCGATGTATTAATTTAAACAATTTTTATACCACAAATCAACTACAATTAATTAGTCAAAACAGACAATTAACAATCAACAACATTTCGCGACTAATTAATACAAACAATGGAAAATACTGGATTTGAATATGACGACAGTTGAAAAATTTGTGAATTACAAGCATAAATGTAAAAAGAAGAATTTCCAATTTTATAACGTAACAGGTAATCAATCAATGCATTCGTTTAAACAATTTTTTTATGGGAACAACGAACTATAATTAATTAGTCAAATCAAACAATTAACAACATTAAGCAAATAATTAATACAAACAAATGAACATACTGGATATTTGAATATGGCGACAATGACAAAATTGTAATCACAAAATCAGCGGAATTGATAAGAAAAATTTGAAAAAATCTTAATATTTCTGTACAGACCTTGAAGTATGTAGTAGTAATTAAAATACTGGACTGTAATGTGACGACAGTGAGAAAAATGTAAATCAAAGTACGGAATTTTTCGAAAAATTTGAAAAAGATCAATATTTCCGTACAGTAGTAGTTAAAATGCTGGATTTGGATATGACAACAGAGAACAACTTGCACTTTAGAGAACAGAAATTGTAAATCAAAAATCAGAATTGAAAAGAAAAAATTCGAAAAAAATAAATATTTCCGTACACATCGTGCTAAAATGCTGCTTTTGAATATGACGAGTGAGAAAATTGTGATCCGGAAATCAAAATTGAAAAGCAAACTTTGAAAAAAATTAAATATTTCGGTGCAGACTGAACTAGCAGAAAAATTAAAGAAATCAGTCCCATTCCTCTTCGTTCAATTGAGACTTGAGCGTTTGAGCTGGTGCTCGTTTCCCGTGGGGCTGCTGTTTACCACCGGACGCTACTTCCGGGATGCGAGACTCCTCCCACTCGTCGTCTGCAACCTGTGGCGTATTAAAAGCGGATGATCCTGGTCGTGGTGGTGGAGGCTTGAAAGCTACGAAACTCTTTTTCTCGTCTACTCGGCCGGATAGATGTGGTGGTGGAGGCTTGAAAAATACGGGATTCTTTTTCTCATCTACTCGGCCAGATACTGGTCGTGGTTGTGGTGGTGGTGCTGCTGCTACTTTTGGCTTTTCAGGTCGATTGAGTGACCCATTTTTGGACAAATAGTTGAGGACTTTCTCCTTCGTGGAGTCCTGGATGGTTGGAGGAACGTGAGGAGTCGGAGGAATGAAAGTTGGCTGTTGCTTCGTCGCCATCAATGGTGGCGGTACGATGGCGGCGGCGGCGACAACTTGTCGAACTTTCGCCGCGTCGTCAACAACGTCTTGGGATTTGAGAGGAAATGGTTTCGCTCCCGTGTCAGCCGGGATTTTGCCAACGTTCTCTTCGACGAGTTTCTTCAGTTGGGTAATTGTTTCAACGTTGTTCTTCTGATTGGCGGACATTTCTATGATTCTGTTCAGAAGGGGTTGGCACACCGAGTTCTTCATCAGAGTGGCGACATGGTCGGGTCGGCAGCAAGCAAAGTCGTGCTTGTTTAGTTTCTCCTTAGCTTGGAGAATTTCCTTTAGTCCAACTTCGACCTATAAATTGTAGGTTGAAGAGAGATTAATTCAGTACAAATTGACGTTAATTATAGGCTACAAATAATTGACTACAATTTGTGGTGAATTGACCTCTGTCGACACTTGAATAAAGGATGAATAACAAACCTGGAGGGTGCGAATGTCGAGAAACTTGGCCTCTTCTTTGAGACAATTCCATTGTTCGGAGATATCTTTTTGTCGCCGGTCGAGTTCAGCTTCCATCTTTTCGTGGTCAAGTCTAGTTTGAACGGCTTTTTCTACGGCGGCTGGAAAAAGACAGGTGAAATTAATAGTAGTTAACAGTACAAAACACATAAAAATTCAATCGTAGGTGCGATTTCTGGTTGAATGAAACCCGTTTGTCGGGAAAGTTTGGTGGAAAATAGGGAAATAAACGGGAACTCGGTCCCAAAACGGTGGAAAAAGAAGGCCTCAAAAATTTGGAGGTCCTCTTTTTTATGAAAAAACAAATTTGGAAGACACTTTTTGTGAAAAAAAATTGATCTGCCTTTTTTTATGAAAACACCGTGAATACAAAAATTGATTGAGATGGCCCCCTTTTTTGGAGGGGGGGGGCGAGAACAAAAACTACATAAGAAACCGCACCCACATAATTAAATTTACCAAATTAATTAATTTTACCTGCCGCATTCATCAAATCTTCTTGCAAAGCAGACAAATCATTTTCCCTCTTCTCGAGTTGATCAGCCCAGGCGGTCAGGTCTTCATTTTTCTTCTCTGCCTCCTTGTCCCCGTTTCGTGGGGTTGAACTTGAAGTCTTGATTTGCATCTTCAGATCTTCCTCACTGCGACGAAGGGATTCAATTTCGCCCTTCATCTCCTGTTCTTGGCGACGGTAGGCGTCGATTTGAGTCCTGAGCTTATCTTCTTGCCGGCGGAAGGACTCGATTTGTTCTTGCAGTTCCTCCTCTTGACAACGAAGGGCCCCCACTTCCCCCTTCAACTCATCCTCGGCCCGTTGGAAACTGTCGAGTTGAAACTGGTACATCTCATCTTGGCGACAATATGCTTCGACTTTAGCGTTCAGTTGTTCCTCCCGGCGTCGCGCGACGTTGATAAGCCCCTTAAACTCTTCTTCTTTACGGTGAAGCTCATCAATTTCACTGTTGAGCTGTTCCTCTCGTTTTTTTGCAGCTTTGAGTTGACCCTCGTCTTTTTGGCGACGTAGCGCCTCCACTTGACCGGTCAGCTCTTCCTCCCGACGGCGCAAGGCGTCCACTTGACCTTTGAACTCTTTCTCTATCCAAGCATACTTGTCGGCTTGAGCTTTCATGTCTTTCTCGTTATCGAAACAGAGTTGCTCGAGATCCCGACACATTCGCTCGGTTTCGACCATGTTCCGATTGGCGACGTCTTTTTCCTTCTTTAATTCTTCGATGGTGTTGGTTAGCGCCCTGTTTCTTTCGCGTAAAATACGGACCAACTTGTCCCCTTCGGTGGAGGATGAGACGGACATTTTCGAAATTTAGGGGAACAAAAAAAAATTAAATTTCCGAAAAAAAAATTAAATTTCCGAAAAAAAAATCAGCTCCGCATCTCACAATGGATGAATGATGACTGGACTGTTTTATTTCGTGGTTATGTGAAAGGAAGGCAGTAAAAAACGCCTCCGGGTAAGGTGAGACGGTGCCCTGCGGGAGATTCAAATTCTTCCAGGAGGAACCCGGCTGGAGTGGAAATTGGAAATTTTGACACATTTTAATAAAATTTTGTAAAAAAGTGATATATAAGATTGGATTTTAAATTGTTTTAATTAGTATTAATAATTAGTGGGTGCAGAAGTCATTAGTAAAGTGTTCACTACTGCCAGTATTCATCGTATTAGTCACATTACATTACATCATCATCTGGTGGAATAAAATAAATTCGTACTTATTTAATTGTCAATAGTTAATTAACCTGCTTAATTAAAAGTTAATCAAAAAGATAACATGTCTCTTAAACAAACCCTTGTGTCACGGGATGATTCACAACAGCCGGAAATAAATGAGAAGACTATTGCTGCTGCAGTTACGGGGGAAGAATCGCCGGATACTTTAGTTAGAAAGAAGAGAGCGATTCCTAAAAAGAGGTGGGTGTGGTTGCAGTAAAAATTTGTAGGGGTGGGCAAAATACGGTGGTTTGAGCTCCGTTCTTCCCAGGGTGTGGATTTCTGGGGATGTTATACCCACGAAAAGAGGAAGATCTTTATGAAGAATTTAACTGTCATACGAAAATACAGGTTTTGTTAAGAAATTAACTTAAATTAGCTGCCAAAATGCAAAGTTTTCACGATTTATGAAAATAAAGTATTTTGACAGTTAATTTCTTCATAAAACCACTATTTTCGAGTAACTGTTGTCTTCTCCACGTAGATTTTCGTCTTTTTGTGGGTGTAACAACCCTGGAAATCCAAACCCTTGGAAGAATGAAGCTTAAAATACTGTATTTTGTCCACCCCTCAAAATTCGTTAAATTCATTAACCTCAAATTTTGCATGTTTAGACAAGACGTCCTCAAATGGAATGGATGGGGATATAAAGATTCCGGCTTTGTGTATCGCGACGGAGACCTCCTATTTTCGGGGGATCGTTACCCCTTGGGAAATTTGATCCTGCCATATTTTACAAACTGGGTTCGTGACCGTCTCGGTGGGAATTTTGCGTTGAAAGTGGAATCCATCGAGGAACCGGATGACACAACTTTCCCGGAGGCGAATGTCACCTCGGAGTTGATAAGCAAGGTGAAAATAAGTTCAAAATTTGATACCATGTTTGTTTAAGTTCAAAATTGTTCAAAATTAATTTCTGAAAACTTGTCATCAAATAAATTTACAGCCATAAGTTGCAAAAAAATGTCTTAATTCAAAATTGTGTTTTTCATTACAATTTATGCTATTTCTGTGCAGATTGAAGAAATCGGTGTGACATATTCCGTCCAGGGTGGCGACCGTCTCTTCCGATCGCATGGACACACTTTGCACGATATTTTCACCCTGCGGACGGGTAACTTTCCCCGAATTCCGGATCTCGTCGTGTGGCCCGAGAGTCACAATCATGTCGTCGCCGTGGTCAATTTGGCGCAAACTTTGGGCGTCGTTTTGATCCCGTATGGCGGTGGGACGAGTGTTTCGGGGGCGTTGAGTGTGCCAGAAAATGAAAGGAGGACCGTTGTTTCGTTAGACATGTCACAAATGGTGAGAGTTTCACGTTTTGAATAATTAATTTACATATTTTTTAAAGTATTGATAAGTTATGAATGTTTATAGAACCGAATTTTATGGGTGGACGAAGCCAACTTGATTTGTTGCGCGGAGGCTGGAATTATTGGGCAAGATTTGGAAGGACAATTAAGAACGCTAGGATTTACGACGGGACATGAACCGGATTCGTACGAATTTTCAAGGTGGAAAATAATTAATAATTTGATATTTTGTGAAATGATTCATCACCAAACTTGTTAAAATCAGCACATTTTTAAAAATCATTCCTCGGTTCCGGAAATTTAATTTAAAGCTGGACGGCTAATTTGTACAGCAGGTCGTTCCCAATTTAAAAAAATATACACTCCAGATTTTAGCACTTTTTGAAGAAGATTTCAAGTTTAATAAGCCTTCAGAAAAATTAGCACTCGACGAAACTGACTTAAAAACTTACCGGCCGTTCTATTAGTCAACTTGCTGCTTAAAAATTTGCTGTTCAGAATTATAAAATTCCCAGCGCCGAGAAATGATTAAAAATGTGCATATTTTGGCCATAAGTCATGACGTCCAATGTGAAATTAGTTGTTAATATTTAACATTTATTTAGTTTGGGAGGCTGGGTCGCCACTCGAGCATCCGGAATGAAAAAGAATACTTACGGAAACATTGAGGATTTGCTCGTCCACGTGAAAATGGTCACGCCACGAGGAACTGTAGAAAAGCACTGCAAAGTCCCCCGAATTTCTGCCGGACCAGATATCCACCACTTTGTCCTCGGGTCGGAAGGCAGTTTAGGCGTGATTACAGAAGTCGTGCTCAAGATAAGACCCCTCCCAATTTGTAAACGGTACGGCTCCGTCGTCTTTCCCGATTTTGCTTCTGGCGTCAGTGCCATGCGAGAAGTTGCGAAGGAAAGATGTCAACCCGCCTCGATTCGACTCATGGACAATGAACAGTTCAAGTTTGGCCACTCGCTCCGAGCACCGGTCGGATTTCTGGGGAATTTATCCTCCGCGGCTAAACAGTTTTATCTGACCAAGTTTAAAGGGTTAGATTTGAACCAGATTTGTGTGGCGACGTTGTTATTTGAAGGTAATTGGCAGTTGGGAAACCTATTTTTTTAAAGTTTCCATCTTTTGAGCCGGGTCAAAATTTCCGGAGACACTATGAAAAATGTTTCAAGCTCCGCTCCAGAATTTTTTTTACACAACTCAAGAAAAGACATATGGAAATTTTGAAAACGTGATTTTGCTATAATTCTAACTGCCTAATGTGATTATACTGTTTTCCGTTTAATTCATTTTTCAAACCTCATTCTACAAATATTTCTAGGACAAAAACACGAAGTTAACGTCCAAGAGCAGAGAATATACGGGATCGCGGCCAAGTTTGGGGGGATGCCGGGTGGAGACAGTAACGGTGAACGAGGCTACATTCTTACTTTTGTCATCGCGTACATTCGGGTACGATTTTCGTGTCAAGTTTTGTTTTAATCAATTTTGACATACTTGACACTGATCAAAACTGGGAAATCGACAAGTTCCCAGTAACTTAAAATAAATCGGTTATCATTTCATTGCAGGACATCGCCCTGGATTACAACATTGTGGCCGAGTCCTTTGAAACTTCAGTCCCTTGGAGTCATACGTTCAACTTGTGTGAAAATGTGAAACTTCGCGTCATCAATGAATGCAGAGGTATATATGGGCATAAAAATCCATTAGATATGCAGTATTACAAATTTAACATATGTAGAACTAGATGAGACATCGTCAAAATCTGCACATTTTTAATCATTTCTCGGCTCTGGAAATTTATTTTGAAATTCTTGACAAATGACAAATTTGTAGTCAGTGAATGGATTGATGGTATTGAATGTAGGTGAATTTTTTGAGCCAGTCGATGAAGTTAACAAAAATATTTTTATACACAATTTAATTTATGAAAAATACTAGCTTAGAAAGGTGAAAAAAGTTGACAACTTAATTTTGAAGTTTTTTTATCCACAATTCTGGACGACGAATTTGTAGTGAATAAGTTGATTAATAGAAAGTACGAGGATGAGTTTATTTCGCTACGTTCCTCTTCTTCTGGAGGCTTCTTAAACTAGAGATCTGGCAAAATTTAGAGTGAATATTTCTAACAAACTTTGGAAAAGACCTGCTCTACAAATTTGTCGCCGAGAATTTTAAAATAAATTCCCAAAGCCAAGAAACGATTAAAAATGTTCTAATTATGACGATTTTAGCCATGGGTCATCGAGTCCTACATTATAAAATTCCCACTAATTTTTTGCTCAGCCCGTGGAATCCGTCACCACTTCATCACCTGTCGCGTCACCCAAACTTATGACGTCGGAGCCTGCGTCTATTTCTATTTTGCCTTCAACTACGCCGGCATGTCGGATCCTGTCCGAGTCTTTGAAGAGATTGAGACCACGGCTCGAGACGAAATATTGGCGAATCGAGGATCCATCTCACATCATCACGGAATTGGAAAACTTCGCGCAAAATGGGTGCCTCACACCATGTCGCAAACTGGAGTTGGAGCCTTGCTCCACATCAAGAGAGCCGTCGATCCGGACAATATTTTCGGAAATGGGAATATCCTCTCTTCTCCGGAAACTATGGTTCAACCTCAACAAAGTCAAGAAGATTCTTTTATGCACTCCAAGTTGTGATTCATTCATTTAGGAATGTTTCCACGAGTAGTTTGAAGATTGTGAATTTTAAGAAGTGTTACCAATTATCCAGAGACCACGCTTTACTACTGCAATAATATTGTGAATTAGCCATGTCATAATTTTAATTGTTTGTATTTAATTACCTACCTGTGATTTTTCCAGTGTTTCTGCTCTGTTTTATTATGCAATGTTTCACAGATTTTTACCTTGTTTACTGTAATTTACTAATTTTATAGTATTATGTAGTTCATAAGCTCATTTCTTGAAACAGAATCCAGTCAATTTTAAATATTACAATTTTGCGAAGTGTTACCAATTCTTTCTAATTATCCAGACCACATTTTACTTCAATAATGTAATGTAAATTAACTATGCCATTCATAATTGTTATTGTTTTTTTAATTAGCTGTGATTTTCCCCAGTGTTTCTTCTTTGTTTAACTACCTTTTCACAGATTTTTACCTTATGTATAGTATTCTATGCCATTTTAATGTATTAATGTATCTGTTCTTTTCTTGGAACAGAATCCAGACAATTTTTCAGGCTGCAATTTTAAGAAATTTTGCCAATTCTTTTTAATTATCCAGACCACCTTTTACTACTGAAATAATGCTAATTATTCATGTCACAATTGTTATTGTTTTCATTAATTAACTGTGATTTTCCCAATGTTTCTTCTCTATTTTAATTAGTATGTACCTTTCCACACATTTATACCTTGTGTATTGTATGCAACTTTAGTGTATTAGCTTATCCGTTCCTGTGACAGAATCCAGTCACTTTCACCTACTTTTACTAGTCGAGTCCAGCCAAAGTTCAGTATGTAGTTGTTGTATTTATCGTGTCACAGTCACAATTAGTCAATGCGTATGCAAATAAGGTATTAAGTATTTATAACTATATATTTAGTAAGTAAAGCAACTTTAGTCATAATTTTTCATGAACAAACAAGTCGTTTTAATGACAAAGAAACGAACTTTCATAGTCGTGTGTTCCAGTGTTTTAGCCAAAAAGACAGCTCACTTATGCAAGCAATATAGTTAGTTAATTATTGTTAAGTATTATTTAACTAGTTTTAAATATTTTCAAATTGTGGTAAAAGTAAAACTTTAGATATTTAAATGTCCTAAAAATAGTCTGTTTTTTTAACTGCCAGTGTATTTTCCAAACCAAAGATTTTATCCAGAAAATTAAGAATTTCTTCTTCAAAATAGCTTTATTATCACGTTTTTATCATTAAATTATTTAGTTACTTCTTGTCACTTGATTAATTACAGCTTTAATTACAGAATGCATAAATGCTTACAAAGAAATTGTCATTATTCCAGAAGTAAATCCTTTTTCGACTTTAGATCGACAACTTTTGTAAAATATTTTGGTTCCACGAATCCATCCCGATTTCCAGGCGAAAGGATGACATTGTTTGCGGAACGGTAGAATTTGACGCCGTCTAAAGTATTTTATTTAAAGATTTAATAAGTTAAGATTTTGAAGATAGCAATAAATGGAAGAAGACTTTGAAGACCAAAATTTATAGGTGGTCAAAATTTTATAGAAAATTATTTCAAAATGTTGAAAATCGAAATTTAGGGGGTCAAAATTTTATGGAAATTTAGTAAGAAATTTGAAAACAAAAATTTAGGGGGTCGAAATTTTATAAAAATGTATACAAAAAGTTGAAGATTGAAATTTATTTGGTAAAAATTTTATAGAAATTTGTCCAAAAGTTTGAAGACTAAAATTTAGGTAGTAAAAATTTTAAAGAAATTTGTCCAGAAATTGAAAGACCGAAAAATTTAGGTGGGCAAAATTGTATGTCCAGGAAGACTAACATTTAGCAAAATTTTATAGAAATTTGTCCAAAAATTGGAAGCTCAAAATTTAAGTGGTCAAAATTTTACGAAAATGTGTCCAAAAATTTGACAAACTAACCACGCATGGCCGCCTCGATATCGACGTAGATATAAATCTGCGCCGAATTTCGCATCCCACTCGTCACGCCGTCCTCTCCGAGCTCTCCGGGCGCAAAATGGACATGATTTCTCTTCATCCGACTCAACCCGGTGGATTTTATGGCGTCCCAATGTCGCAGATAAGTGCCGTGAATCACCGTAATTCCGGCAGGATCGGTTATCGGTTCGAGAAGCTCGGCGTCATCGACTTCCTGTCATCGTGACGTAATTATAAAGGTTATTTAGTAACCTGATAACTCTTGATAAGCATGTTAACGTAGGACTCGATAACCAATTATTGTCAAAGTCAGCACATTTTTAATCATTTCTCGCCTCTGGGAATTTATTTTAAAATTCTGGATGACAAATTTGTAGAGCAGGTCGTTCCCCAAATTTTAAAGAAATATACACTCCAGATTTTGACACTTTTTGACGGAGATCTCAAGTTTAAGAAGCCTTCAGAAAAATTGGAATTCGTCGAAACTACCTCAAAAAACTCGACGCCATTCCATCAATCAACTCACTGACTGCAAATTTGTCGCCCAGAATTTTAAAATAAGTTCCCAGAGGAGAGAAATGATTAAAAATGTGCTTATTTGAATCATTGTTAACCTTGACCTTTAATGTGTGACCCTGATTCGCCCTAATTTCCAACCTGTCGCCTTGTAATTCTCTCAAACTGAAGCGTTGCTTATCATTCGATGCTACAACGGCTTTGACATCGTCTACGGTCCAATTTGTGAATCTGGGAAGTTTCAAAACTGCGGAAAGATCGACCCAACCGCCAGATTCGATGTGGAGCCCTTCTTGCACGGCGTTGTGGCGTAAAAGCCAGGAGAGGGCTTTACTCAGAGCGATGGTGGAAGAGGGGTCGTTGCTTCCTCTGGGGTCGGTACGGTGGGGGTGACCTCGGGGGTTGCGGGGGCGATAAGGCTGCATATTTATGGAATAATTTAGGGAATATCGTCACAAATTAGTTAATCTATATTGTCAAAATTCTGTTAATATCGTCAAAATTCTGTTAATATCGTCAAAATTCTGTTAATATCGTCAAAATTCTGTTAATATCGTCAAAATTCTGTTAATATCGTCAAATTCTGTTAATATCGTCAAAATTCTGTTAATATCGTCAAAATTCTGTTAATATCGTCAAAATTCTGTTAATATCGTCAAAATTCTGTTAATATCGTCAAAATTCTGTTAATATCGTCAAAATTCTGTTAATATCGTCAAAATTCTGTTAATATCGTCAAAATTCTGTTAATATCGTCAAAATTCTGTTAATATCGTCAAAATTCTGTTAATATCGTCAAAATTCTGTTAATATCGTCAAATTCTGTTAATATCGTCAAAATTCTGTTAATATCGTCAAAATTCTGTTAATATCGTCAAAATTCTGTTAATATCGTCAAATTCTGTTAATATCGTCAAAATTCTGTTAATATCGTCAAAATTCTGTTAATATCGTCAAAATTCTGTTAATATCGATACAATTTACGCAATATCGTCACAATTTAGTTAATATAGCGTCACAATTTACGTAATATCGTCACAATTTACTTAATAGCATCAAAATTTAGTTAATATCGTCACAATAATATTAATTTCGTAGAAATTTTACCTTATTTTCAGCCGATGACGCCATATGAATTTTATTCCATGCATATATTTTCGCATGTTATATCATAATCTAAGGTTAATATCGTCAATCGTCAATCGTCAATAATTTATTAAATATCGTCACAATTTAGTGAATTTCATCATAATTAAATTATGACGATATTTACTAAATTATGACAATTTAGTAAATATCGTTATAATTTTTGTTAGTATCGTTACAACTTGGTTAATTTCGTCACAATTTAGTTAATATCGTCAGAATTTAAGGAATATGTCAAAATTTAGTTAATATTTATCTTCACAATTTTAACTAAATTGTAAAAATATTAGTCAAACTGTATGAATTTCATGGAAATTTTACCTTATTTGTAGCGGAGGACGCCATATGAATTTTATTCCATGCGTAGAATTAACAAAACCTAATTAAAAAGGTGGAAACAATCCGTACTTGAAAACAAAACGATTGATTAACAAACTGAACTGAACGATTTTTCATCTTGACGTTGGTTTTTTATCAGCCCGATAAAAAAATTCCCACACAAAATGACGCAATGTGCAACGTTTCTCGTAATTTATCAGGGGAATTCAGGCATGCAAATGACTCCATGCTAAGTAAATACAAATGTTAAATCTTATTAGTGTGCAAAAAAAAAATTGCATGAATTTTATTTCATGATTTATTCCTTAATACAGAATTGTAAATTTAATGTAATGTAAATTATGCAATGTACAAAAACCATATCATTTGAGACTACACATGAAAATACGGGACCAAGAATTTTTGATTAATTTGTATCTTATTTTTTTGCATAATCCGTATTGCATGTAAGTCACTCCATCCTAAATAACATATAATTTTACATGAAATTATAAAAATTATGCATAAAATTGCATTAAAATTTACTTAAATTAATGTATTTAATTAATTATTAAGTAAAATATTAAAATATCAAAACTATATAAAGCAGGCGAGTATATCGCTGCTGGGTCGGTGGCTTAGTTGAGAAGTTAGCCTCTCCTTTTCTCTCTCCACTCTGCACAGAGAACAGGAGAGGCTAATTTCACTAATGTTGGGGTAACGGGCTTATCGACGGGCCTATTTTGCACGTCGATTGACGGGCTTCTACACTTGTTGAAATAAATATTAAATAAATAACTTATTTTAATTAATTTATTTTAATTCTATTTATTTTATTAAATTTTATTATGCCAAAAATTGTATGCATGATTTCCACGACCAAATTTTATTTCTATGATTTTATTCCGTGTTAATTTCACAAAAATCAGATCACCAGATGAAGGAACTCGGTACCATAAATAATTTTTATTCATAATTTTTTGGTTTATTAATAATTTATTGTTTTTTTTGCGTGAAAAATTCAAATCAATTTATTTATGAATTACACACTTCATTTTATTATTTGTTAGTAAGGATATTAAGATACAGATGATATGCAGCAATCAAATTATCGCATTTTAGAAAATATCCGTTTTGTAAAATTAATTACTAATTTTATCAAATTTCTGCATTTTGGCATCGGAACGAATAAAAGATGAAGATTTAAGGTCGCAGCTCGAACGTAATTAGGTCGCTGGATACAAAAATCATCAAAATTTGCTTATATGTCGTGAATTCGTGACCTTGTCACGGAATGACCTCATTTTCCAATTGAGATTACTACCCATGTCAAAATTTCGCTATTTCTCATCCAATTTTCATGAAATTTTGCCACATATTCATCCTTTGTGTTGTCGGTCGACATGTATTAATAATTTCGCCAATTGTCAGAATGAGCACGGAGGACACGATAAAGAACATGAATAATCTGAGAGAAAGCAGATCGTATGAATTCTGTGTGGTGTGACACCACTGGTGGCCAGCCAGCCAGCCAGCGTCATAATCGAACCGATTGAAGATCATTTGTCAGAGAACGCGTGGTAAATGATGACCTCGTGAATATCGTGGCGTTCGTACGTATAGAAACTGAATAAAGAATGGTGCCGAAATAAATGATGACGAATCAAGAGTATTTTGAAAAAAAAATTATACAGCAAAAAAATTTGGCGTTTTGTATTTGGCGAAACCTATCGCTGATTTTTGTAAGAAAATGGGGAACCGTATTGGCTCTGGGGGCGATGGTGCAAATGGACCCTGGAAGAAGCTTCCCTTAGAGGTGAGTCAGCTAAAACTTGCCCCAAAAAAATTTGGTCTCCTCCATTCAATGTTTCCGGTGCAAGAAACGACGTGCAAGAATTAACGGGAAGAAGAAGAAAGTGTTTTTATACAGGGGAATATTTTTACCTGTAAGAAATGGACGGCGCAAGAAAGGACGCCCCGTCGCTGTACTTCGTACGGCACGTGGCAAGATGGCGCTTATTTTTGCAGTCATACCTGTTCAAAAAACTTTATCATTCAAAGTTCAGTCCAGTCATCGCGATTTCTGACTGAAGATTTTCATTCACACTCAGGCATTTCTTTCAAATTCATTTCATTTCACTTCACTTCATCAGACTTCATTTCTTACTTCGCTCCATGTATTAAGCATAGAGTGAAAAATGAAATGAAATGAGTCAGAAATACTTTCATTCACAGTCATTTATCCAAAATGACGGAATCCTTCACTCATTTTCATTCAAATCATAGGAAATTCATGTTCATTCATTATCATAATTAGTCAAATGAATGAAGGAGAACAGTTGTTTCGCAGTGAAAAAAAATGTACCAAACCTGGAAGAAAAAACACTGACCCATTCCTTCATTTCAGGTGGTTATCAAAATCCTGCGATATCTGCCACGTGCCGACCTCCTCTCGTCCCGCTTGGTTTCGAATGCCTTCGTCCCACACCGGATTTATGCCCGTGTCTCATTTCACGGGCACTCGAAATACCTCTATGTCGGACTATTCTTCGGGTTACGGGTAAATCGTCGTTGGATAACTCGAAGGCGGGTAGGGTGGTAGTTGGGCAACTCGTAGTAGGGTAACTCGTGGGAGCGAAAAGTGTCGTAGTCGGACATTTTCGCCGAATCCGATTTTATGATCGTCACATGTGTCGTCACTCTATAAAAGAGCATTTTGGAGTGTGCATGATAGGGTTGAAAGCAATGTAGCTTGAACAAATAATTCGCTAGAAAATTGAAACAGACGTTTTGGAGTTTTGTGTGAAAGTTCTCATATTCTTCTTTACAGATTACTTAAGTAATCTTAAGTATTACTTAAGTAATCTCAAGTATTTTCAAGTGAGCAACACTCGTGGTAAGACCTCGGTAGAGTGCCAAAATTTCTGGCAACCCCCCAGCTCAACGGTACAAACTCAACTAAATCGGCGGATCAGACGCTCGAATTGAATGACTTGGTTAAACGTGTTACATTTAAAGTGAGAAGTACTTAGGTATAGTTACGCATGGCGATAAAAGAAACAACGACGCTGTTGATAAGTCAAAGAAGAACTTACTATCCAGGCGCCTATAGCACAGTGTTCAACTGCCTTTGCTCCAACATATAGCGATGTCTCATGCCTAAAGCGTAAATGGACTAACTCAGGGAAATTTTCAAAAAGACAAAAACCCAAATTTTGCAGAATCTTGTACATAATAATTCAATTTGATTCTAAATTTTAAAGCTAAAAGACAATTCCATATTTTCGACCAAATGTTCTTCTTCGACTTGTCCCCCACATTTACTTGTCCAACAACGAGTTGCTCTTCCTTCGACTTTTCCTCTACAAAATGTCCGACGACGATTTACCACCAACCCCTATTCTTCTCGGGTCGGGTTCGCCATGAATTTGTTCAAAACCACAAATTCGAGTATGACACGCGTCTTGACGTCGTTCCGGACTCGATCCTGGAGAAAATTATAGCATTGAGTCTCTGTGAGTGGCAAAAAATTAAAAAAAATAAACATCAGTGTTTCGTTTCTTGCGGTTTTTTGCCACATTTTTTGCAGTGCAAAACAAGCAATGCAAGAAATGAGAGGTGCACGAAAGTGCGAAAAGGCGTGAGAAATATGCACCCTATGAACGTCGTTTCGTGCACATTATATCCACCTGCTGAAAGAAACCACTTTCCTTCCGTTATTTCTTACAAGTCGTTATTTTATTTTCACCCGAAACACTAACCCTCATACCTGTTCACTTTCATTCATTTGACTGATTATGAAAACATGAATTTCCTTGTCATTTAAATGAAAATGAAGGAAGGATTCGGTAATTTCAGATGAAGTCGATAAAGTGAAGTGAAATGAATTTGAACGAAAATGTCTGAATGTAAATGGAATTCTTGATAAAATTAAACATTTTGCAGCCTTCCCTCAGTCCGACTTCGTCCTGGGCGACACTTTCAAAGACCTCGCCATACTGCAAGCTAAGGCGCACAATTTGACCTCAATTTGTGGACAGAACCTACATTTTGACAACTTCGCCTGGATTGCGGATGTCATTTCGAGGAATAAAGGGTTAATCAAAGTTTATCTTGAGAAGAGTAACGACCCCAAGAAGGATGGCAAAAGGCAAAACCTGCGCTATGTCGACTGCAACTGGCTGACGGGTAATAATTCGTATATATAAAATTCGTAGTGCAAGCATACATGTTCATATTCATTCATTTAATGATGCAAGAATAAATTAATCATTTAATTCATTACTCAAAGTAAGAAATGAAGTCCGATGAACTTGAACTGAAAATCTTTAGTCAGAAATCGGGATGACTGACTTTTGAATGAAAACTAAATTTTTGAACAGGTTTGTATTAATCCTGTAATGATTCGTTGCAGATTGCCAGAACCTGAGAGACTTTATGATTCATGATTACAAGAACGAAAATCTAGCCAAACTTCCCCCGAGTTTGACTGATCTCACCTTATTTAGTCTAGTCACGTTGGAGAACATGGTTTGGATGGCGGAGAACCAGCAAAAACTACGCGTCAGTTTTTTTAATTGATTGATTAATGGAGGAATCGACGACTCGTCGCCAAATTCAGCATTTTTAATCATTTCTACGCTCTGGGAATTTATTTTAAAATTCTGAAAGACAAATTTGTAGTCAGAGAGGAGGGTATATTTTGAAAAACTTGGGAACGACTTGCTCAGAATTTTAAAAATTCTGTCAAACAAATTTGGGAGTTCCCAATTTTTTAAAATTAAATATGCAGTCCAGATATTGCTACTTTTTGAAGGAGGATATCTCAAGTTTAAGAAACCCTCAGAAAAATTGGAACTCGTCGAAACTCTCAAAAAACTCGACGCCATTCCATCAATCAACTCACTGACTAGAAATTTGTCGTCCAGAATTTTAAAATACGTTCCCACAGCAGAGAAATGATTAAAAATGTGCGGATTTTTACAACGACTAGTCATCGAGTGTCACTTAAACGTTGAATTTTTTGTAAAATTTTGAATCTGTCTTGCAGAATTGTATAATTGCCTTGCGTGAAGAAGTCGCCGACGAGAGTTTGCTCCGTAACATGGCGGAGATTGGGAAGCCGAAGAACGCGTACGAGCTGCTAGGCCTGAGTGCACCGACCGCGGAAGGCGCCCCTACCGCGACCAATGATAAGCCCATGTTGACGCCAGAATTGCTCCGACGCTTCATCAACCTCCCGCACATGGAGATCCTCTGGGTCATGTTCCTCGTCACTAAGAATCCCGCCAATTCGGACAACCAACCAACGGATTACGATCACATGGCCAAGCAAGTCACCCAAGTGAAAGATCGGTTCCAGGATTTGAATGAAGTTTGCAAGAAAACGGCAGGATTTAAGGAGGTAATTTAAAATTGGGGACGGTTTGCTTTGCTACAGTTATTGAACTGTAAAGGAAAAAATGTGAGGTGCACGACAATAAGCGCCATCTAGCGCGCCCGGTATGATGAAGTACCGCGGCGCGGCGTATAGTTTCTCCATACCTGTTCATTTGCATTCATTTTACGGACTAAGTGTGGTATGATCATGAATGAGAATGAATTTCCTCTCATTTGAATGGAATGGATTTCGTGTCATTTGAATGAAATGAAGTTCCCATCAATTGAATGAAATGAATTTCCTATCATTTGAATGAAATGAAGTTCCTGTCATTTGAATGAAAATGACTGAAGGATTCCTACATTTCGGATGAATGACTGTGAATGAAGGATTTTTCACTCAGTTCATTTTTCACACTATGCTTAATACTTGGGGCGCAGTAAGAAATGAAGTCGGATGAAGTGAAGTGAAATGAATCTGAGCGAAAATGACTCAATGCGAATAAAAATCCGAAGTCAAAAATCGGGATGACTGGCTTTTGAATGAAAACTAAATTTTTGAACAGGTTATGAGTTTCTCGCCCCATGCATTTATTCTTGCGGGCCAAAATAAATAAATACCTGCAAAAACCCACCTTTTTTACCGTTATTTCTTGTAACAGTTACTCATTTTCACCCGAAACCTCTATAAATTTGACGATTTGATTAATTTTTGCATACTTTTCAGGCTCAATTTCTCTACTTGATTGACTCCACGAAGGAATCCGGCTGCGTGATCAAATTCTCGATCGATCGAGCCATCTTTAAGGGATTACCGTCGTGATATCGCTCCAATTTGAGTAAATGCTTATCAAAATGTAATGCATATTTAACCAACGACCTAATTCGTACCAGATTTGATTAAAAATTAATAAAATACGGGGAACATTGAAGATTTTGTGCAAAATTTTGTAATTTTTTTTGTGCGTTTGATCCTTATCATAGCGTTCAGGAATCTGGCTTGTGTCCCGGTGCGGGAAATTTTATCTAGCCATCGACACTATATTTGCCGTCAGACTCGATACTTGATATCGATAATACCTGTTCACTTTCATTCATTTGCATGATTACGATAGTGGGTGATAGTGAATAAAAATGAATTTCCTGTGATGTGAATGAAAACTTTGTTAAAGGTTCAGTCATTTCATATGAATGAATGTGAATGAAAGGATTTATCACTCATTCCATTTTCACCCTTTGCTTAATACATTGGGCGAAGTAAGAAATGAAGTCGGATGAAGTGAAATGAAATTAATTTGAACAAAAATGCCTGAATCTCAATATATGGGTATGGGTATATTACTGAATGTCAATGAAAATCTTCAGTCTGATGATTACTTTTGAATGAATATTACCAAGTTTTTGAACAGGTATGGTCATCATAGGACTGAGGATAAATTATTAAATTGTCAGAGAACGCGTCGTAAATGCTCGTGAATATCGTCCCGTTAATTCGTATATATAGAAACTGAACAATAAATGATGACGCCGATGACGGAATAAATGATGACGATTCGAGTATTTTGAGAAAATTGTAGAGAAAAAAAAATTTGTTGGCGTTTTGTTTATGACGAAACCTGTTGCAAATTTTTGCAAGAAAATGGGGAACAGTGTTGGCGCTGGGGGAGATGGTTCAGATGGACCCTGGAAAAACATTCCCTTAGAGGTGAGCCTTCGGGATAAACATTAATTGAAACAGAAAAAAAATTTGTCTTCATTCAGCTTGCACGAAATGACGGCAAGAAAGTGGATTTTTTTGCAGCTAAATAAATATTTTGACCTGCAAAAAATGCACGGCGCAAGAAACGACGCCGCGCCTCTATACTTCGTACGGCACATGACTAGGTATTTCTTGCACTTTCTCCCAGTTTCTTGCACCTCGCATTTCTTGCCTTGCCACAATGTCCTGGGAGACTGAAAATCCGGCCAAAATTATTTTAAGGTCCAAAATCCTCCCACGGGGGTCGGAGAACATAAAAATATGGTTCATTTTGATTTTCGAAAGTGGGTGTGGTCAGGAGGGGGGTTTTTATGGGATTTTCAAAAAGTCGCAAATCGCCCCTAAAACCACACCCACTTTGTTCAGAATTTAACGCTGATTAAAATGAGGTATCATACATGCCCCTAGCTCTTACCATTGTCTCGCAAAAAAATAAAATGTAGCGGAAGATGGGTGTTTTTGTCAAAAATCGTCAAAATGGCCAAGTTTGAAGGGCTCTCAAATCCTTGAAACTGAATTTGCGCAGGAAATCATTTCGGAATTTTGAAGTACACCCATAGGACTAACTTAGGTCACCGCCTCGGTCGGATCTGAGACGGAGGTTTTTTGCAAATTGAGCTCAAAGTTGACGAAAAAAACATCGCGAAAAAGGTGGATGGGAAGGGACTTTTGAAGGGCTACTAAATCCTTAAGGATAAACATTATCACCAACTGACCTATGCATCCTAAGCTACGGTCATACTACTATGTAACATCGTAACCTTTGCTCCATTATAAGCAATAGTGTTCCTATAAACGCGGGTCCAACTTGGCTTTCCTGAGGGCTGCAAAAATTCCTGAAATTGGCCAACTTTAAAGGGCTCCCAAATCCTTGAAACTGAATTTGCGCAGGAAATTATTTCTGCATTTTGAAGTACTATCATAGGACTAACTTAGGTCATGACCTTGGTCAGATCTGAGACGGAGGTTTTTGGCAAATTGAGGTCAAAGTTGATGAAAATAGCGTCGAAACGACACCGTCGGGGTTTTTTGATTTTTGGGGAAAAAATTTTGTATTCTTGATTTGCACGAATCATGACCTCTAGGTCACGAAAAACAGGTTTCTGGGGCAAGTTGAGATTTTTGGGGCAAAGTGAGACAAATCTCAACTTGCCCCAGAAACCTGTTTTTCGTGACCTAGAGGTCATGATTCGTGCAAATCAAGAATACAAAATTTTTTCCCCAAAAATCAAAAAACCCCGACGGTGTCGTTTCGACGCTATTTTCATCAACTTTGACCTCAATTTGCCAAAAACCTCCGTCTCAGATCTGACCAAGGTCATGACCTAAGTTAGTCCTATGATAGTACTTCAAAATGCAGAAATAATTTCCTGCGCAAATTCAGTTTCAAGGATTTGGGAGCCCTTTAAAGTTGGCCAATTTCAGGAATTTTTGCAGCCCTCAGGAAAGCCAAGTTGGACCCGCGTTTATAGGAACACTATTGCTTATAATGGAGCAAAGGTTACGATGTTACATAGTAGTATGACCGTAGCTTAGGATGCATAGGTCAGTTGGTGATAATGTTTATCCTTAAGGATTTAGTAGCCCTTCAAAAGTCCCTTCCCATCCACCTTTTTCGCGATGTTTTTTTCGTCAACTTTGAGCTCAATTTGCAAAAAACCTCCGTCTCAGATCCGACCGAGGCGGTGACCTAAGTTAGTCCTATGGGTGTACTTCAAAATTCCGAAATGATTTCCTGCGCAAATTCAGTTTCAAGGATTTGAGAGCCCTTCAAACTTGGCCATTTTGACGATTTTTGACAAAAACACCCATCTTCCGCTACATTTTATTTTTTTGCGAGACAATGGTAAGAGCTAGGGGCATGTATGATACCTCATTTTAATCAGCGTTAAATTCTGAACAAAGTGGGTGTGGTTTTAGGGGCGATTTGCGACTTTTTGAAAATCCCATAAAAACCCCCCTCCTGACCACACCCACTTTCGAAAATCAAAATGAACCATATTTTTATGTTCTCCGACCCCCGTGGGAGGATTTTGGACCTTAAAATAATTTTGGCCGGATTTTCAGTCTCCCAGGACATTGTGGCCTTGCTTGCTTTGCGGTACAAGAAATGTGGCAAATCCGCAAAAACCGATCCTGGCTTTTACCAGTGTTTCGGAGTATCCGAATCGGATACAAGTAATCACTCAAGAAACAACTGTAATAAAGTAGTTTTTGCAGCTATTTTTGCCCCCAAGACTACTTCCCGTTGCGAATTTTCTTATTGCATATTTCTTCCACTTTCTCCCAGTTTCTTGCACATCTCATTTACTGCATTGCTTGCTTTGCAGTGCAAAAAATTGTAGCAAACCCGCAAAAACATTACTGATCCATTCTTTCATTTCAGGTGGTTATCAAAATCCTGCGATATCTGCCACGTGCTGACCTCCTCTCGGCCCGCTTGGTCTCCAAGAACTTTGTCAAACACTGGATTTTTGCCCGTGTCTGTATTTCCGGTCACGTGAAATACCTCAAAGTCGCACTATTCTTCTCAGACAAGACTACCCCCGAATTTCTTCAAGAGAACAGACTCGAGTATGAGACACGTCTTGACGTCGTTCCGGACTCGATCCTGGAGAATGTCGTAGTATTAAATCTCCGTGGGTGGCAAAATAAAAATCAGTGTTTTGTTTATTACCGGTTTACCACATTTTTGCACTGCAAAGGAAGCAATGAAAGAAATGAGAGGTGCAAGAAACTGGGAGAAAGTGCTAGACATATCGTATCGTATGAAGTATATCGTCGGTTTGGGACCTAGTTTCTTGCCCCTTACATTTCTTGCAGGTCGGAAAATAGCCCCAGAAAACACGTTCTTGCCGTCATTTCTTGCAATTGGTTAGTTTACTGCACCCGAAATAAGAAAGTGGAAATTGCAAGAAATTCAAGGTGCAAGAAACTGGGAGACATACGCCACGCGCCACGTGATCTATTAAGTAGAGCGTCGGTGCGTACACGCTAAATAAATTTGATTAAAATTTACTCAAGCTTGAGTAAAATTTGCGATGCTGTTGTGTAAAATGTACCAAATGAAAGTTAAAATTTATCCAACGTTATAGAAATTTCGCACAACCTTGAGTAAATTTTACCTTTGTGGAGCAAATTTTGCACAATCAGTTGTGTCATCGCAAATTTTACTCAAGTTTATTTAGAGTGTAGTTTCTTGCGCCCTGCAGGTCAAAATAACACCTTCAAGAAACCACTTGAAATGAAATGAATTTTAATAAAAATGACTGAAT